CCTTACCGCGAGTGGAGTCTCCTGATGTCGCTGTGCCTCCTAGGGCCTCTGGGACTCCAAGAGGCCGCCGGGTTCCCCGCAGCGCTCCGAACGCTACGAACCCGAACCCTTCAGCTGGGGAAGGTTGAACAACAAAAAAAACATGTGCCGGGCGGCCCCTGCGGCGGATGTTCAGGGAATGGGCAACACACACACGCTCGGTGCTCGCCCCGAGGGTAGCGGCATGGCTACCTTTGCCTCCGCCGAACTGCCCGGGCCGCCGCCGCCCCGAGTGCGGCCCTCCCCCCCCTCCCCCCCGGGATCTCCGGGGCCAGCTCGTCGGCGGAGTGGGCGAAGGTGCAGGCCTCGGCCTTGGTGCACCGGCCTGGCCGGGGGGGGGGAGGAGGAGGAGGAGGAGGAGGAGGAGGAGGAGGAGGAGGAGGAGGAGGGAGGAGGGAGGAGGAGGAGAGGAGGGAGGAGGAGGAGGGAGGAGGAGGAGGAGGAGGAGGAGGAGGAGGAGGAGGAGGAGGAGGAGGAGGAGGAGGAGGCGATGATGTCTTGGTGCTCGGCCAAGGCTCTGCTACCCTGGCTGTATCCTTGCTTGCTCCGCGAGCTCGAGCAAAAAAAACACTACTGTGTAGAGATGCGCTGCCTGCCGTCAACGTTGTGGCACTGATTCAGGAGGGGAAAAAACACACAGACACAATTAATCGTCGACTCCCAGAAAATATGGGGAAATATGGGAAGTAGGGGGGAGACAAAAACCTAGAAAACATGGGAAAATATGGGGAATCCTTTTATTTGTGTGTATTTATTTGTGTGTCCCAGGGCCCCTTCACCGATGCCGAGAGTCGGCGCGGCGGACGCTCCTTTGGAGAGTCGCTGCGGACGGCGTCGGGAGCCGTCGTGGAGTTCGGCGTCGTGGGTCGGCCGTCGGAGTTCGGCGTCCGTCGGAGACGGCGGCGGGGCGGCGGAGGGCCTCTTCTCTGCCCGGGAGGCACGGCTGTCAAGCTGGGCGTGCACAGGTACTCTTTAGGCGATGCTTAAGAAAACTTCAGTTTTCGGCCAGAGTCTCGATTATTCTTAACGTTTCAATGTAAATCTTAAGATTGTAATAGAAATGTTGGGTTTTTATTCAAGCTCTGAGACTATGAATTTCTTAACCCATGATTTCTTAAGCATTTCGCAGGGTGTACTCCAGATGTCGTAGTAAGTAGTCCAAAAATGATCCAAACATAGTCTGGGGACTATGCTTTGCGTATGTTTCGACCTTTCTGGGGTACTTGGGGGCTACTTTTGCATTTCTCGTCGAAAGTCCCCCTGTATGGGGGACAGGCCCGACGGAATGGTAGCACGAGGACTGTACCTCTTCGCACTGTGTGGTGGCGTACTCCAGATTTCGTAGTAAAAGGGAGGGGGGTCTCATTTCGGGGGGGGGTCTCTTCCAGGCTATCTTGGAGGGCCTGGGGGGTCTGGGGACGATGTTTTGGAGGGTTCTCCCACGGGGGAGGTCTGAAATGGCTTGTCTTGGAGGGTCCAGACCCCCTCCCTTTTATTACGAAATCTGGAGTATGCGATACTGCCGCTTGTCGGTTGGAGCACCCAGTGCCGGTTTTGCTCCCAGGTTCGGCCGACCCCGATGCCGTGGTTGCCGTTGGTGGGCTTGCGCGCCTGGTTGATGACCGGCGCCTGGGTACAGCCACAAGACGCTGCAATAGGGACCGCGTTGGTCGGGGGCGGCAAAGAGGGGGGTGATGACTAAGGGGGGGGGATATCATGGCGCGGGCCATGAGTTTTCCCCAGATGTCAGGGCGCCTCTTCTTATTTCATTACGTTCCCGGCCCCCCCCGCTGGGCCGCGCACATGCCGCCGGCCATGATTTGCACACTTCCCTCCTGGCCGCTCCCGCTTGAGCCTGGTGGCCTTTGTGGCTGGTGCTCTTGAGAGTCGGCGTGCGCTCGCTCGGAGGGTCGCTGCGGACTGCGTCTTGCATTAGAAGCGGGTTCGGTGACGTGGCCTGGCCGTCAGGCAGCTGGTCTGTCGGAGTGTGCCGGTCGTCGATCGCCATCGTCATCGAGTTACTGCCCTGGCGGGCGTCGCGGGTGTTGTGGGCCGCGTGCGGAGCCACGGTTGGTGCTCGTTTTTTGCGTTTCTGACAGTGGTGCCACTTGGCGTAGTGGGTCTTCGTCTCGCCCGGCTTCATCAGCTCGCCCCTGCGATTGCGGTGGTCGCGGCGGCACTGTCGGTATATGGTGTCAAGGTCGTGCTGATGTCTGTGAGCAAGGTCGTTATAAGCAGCGGCTGCTCGGTCGACGCCACCCGTGATCCGGAGCGCTTCGACGCAGGCTTTCTTTCGGCCGGGGTTGCTTTCCTGCCGATCAGTTCGGGTTGCCTCTGAGCGGCCCTTGCCTGGTGGCCTGGGCTGCGGTGGTAGACGAAGCCCGCGGCGAGGGCTCTCTGGAACCATTGCGGCGCGCGGGAGTGACACGTGAGAGGATGTGACACGAATCTGTCCTGTGGTGTGGGCCACAGATCCGGTCTCGCCATGTCAGTCAGTGGCCGTGCATCCTGTGGACGCGTAGGCGAGAGAACACTAAAAAAGTGCGGGTGGTGCGCCAAACGCGTCCCTGAAGCAGTCAGAGCAGGGCAGTGCGCCAAACGCGCTGTGATGATGACGACGTGATGGGATCAAGCATGTACAATATCACAAGTAGAGTAACAACATTGCAAATACTTATTCTGCCCATTGTTGTCTTGGTCGGCCTCTGCGCCGGGGGCGAACCCATTTTTTTGCGATCCGTCCACAGCACAAACTAATTGTCGAATAATTAAATCATGGCCTGGCCGCGCTGCAATCTTCTTTTGCAAATTTGTTTGTTTATCGCACAGAATTTCAGATCAAGGTTTTGATTCTGCCCGCTCCAAGACCCCAGCGTTAATTGTGTGAGAGTAATATACATGAGGTATGCCCATGACTTATCGCAAGCATTTGCAATGGAAAGCGCCCAACTTATTTCTGTTCGCTCTGAGCAGCCACAAGAAGTCGAATGAATACAAAAGTTTCGCCACCACACAACTTGTATGTATGTGCAATTCGCTGTGCTTCCGAATGGATGCATGAAACCATAATTGTTGCAGCTGCCTGAACTTATGCGTGCTTTCGCCGATCTGCCGGGACACCTCATGGCTTGCGCGCCCGTCGCAAGACAATCACCTTCCCAAATACACAGCTTCCCGGACATTTTTGATATGTTCCCTATTTGGTTGTTTTAATTGTGTTGTGGCTGCTAATTTGGATTTGCATGGTCTCATCCCAATGTAATTCCAATCCATACCTGTGTCCCTCCAATATTGTCACGTCCAACATCTGCTGACAATTCCCAGGCTCGCTGGATACGAAAAGCGTGCCGTCCGCGAAAAGGATGTCCTTGGTAACGACATAGCCCGTCTCTGCTGCGAGTGCGAGATGCGCCAATGCATCGTGTAGAAGAACAGTTTGCACGGTTATGGAAAGATATGGGGACAAAGAGCACGCTTCAGCAATACCTGCTTGTTGAGTACGTTCTGTAGACCGCCCGCAATCGTCGATAACTTTGAAATACCGGTGCGAGTAAATACGGTTGGTCATGTCCACCATGGGGGCAGGGAGTCCAAAACGTGCCAGCGCTTTGCAAACACAGTCTGGCTTAAGTCGGCCAAAAGCTTCAGCCCAATCTAACAAGAACGACATTAATAAATGATCCTTTTATTGACCAGCTGCATCCACCATTCGTGTAGCAATCATAAGTGCGTCTGCCGTTCCACGCCTGGGCCGGAAACCGCATGGGGAGTGTTTGGGGGTTCATTTCTTGGCTGCGCCCTGAGCCCAGAGACCCCAGAGCCGAGACTAGAGAGGGGAAAAGTGAAAGAGAGGCTGAGATAGATTTCGGGCGGATTGATGCGCTCACTCCCAGCAGTTGCTCTTCCTGGGGAAGGGCTCGAGACCTTTGGGGCTCGATCCGACCCACCTCGCCGAGCATGGCCCCGGGACCGGTGCACACGCTTTCCTCGCCAACCCGGGAGGGCGTAAGCAGCGACCTTGGGCCCAGGATGGGCTTGGCAAGGGTCGGGGAGGTGGTCACGTGACGTCCCTCGAGAGAGGGAGAGAGAGAGAGAGAGAGAGACAAACAAACAGACAGATAAAAAAATGTATATATAGAGAGAGAGAGAGAGAACACAGGAGAGAAAAAGAGAGAAAGAGAGAGAGAGATAACAACAGAAGGAGAAGAAGAAGAAGAGAGAGAAAGAGAGAGAGAGAGAGAGAGAAAAAGAGAGAGAGAGAGAGAGAAAGAAATACAACAAAATCATTGGGCGCGTGGCAGGGAGGTCGGGCTGGCCGACCGCCCCTCTCGGCCATCGCCTCCCCCCCCCCCGAGCGCCCCTGCGCCCCGTCGCTCCTTCCACGCCCCCCCCCCATGGGTCGGCTCCGCGGCGCGAGAATGCGAGCCCACCTCCGCCCTGCCCTGTCCGTGGCGCCTTGCCCCATGGGGACCTCGCGGACGGAGCCGCGAGCTTCGGGTCGTCGGCTCGGGCGGTTTGGTTCTCCGCACGGGGGGTTCGACAGGAGTTGTTCGGACCTCGCAGCGCCGAAGCTGAGCTGGCGCTTCTAGGCAGCCAGTTGACCGAGGAGCCCGAGGCAGGCCGCTGCAGTGCTAAGCTAGGATTTCGACTAAAACTCACGCCAGCGCACTGATCGCGATGCCCTCGTGGTTGCAGCCCGGGGCTCATTGCAATTGCGAGCCGAATGTTGTGACCGCATGCCATGCAGCTGCTCTGAATCTCGAGATCAAGCCGAAAAAACATGCGACATGCAGCACAGCAGTCTTGTGCGAGCCCGAGAGGGGACCACGGAACCCGCTTCAGGGCATCACCGTGCGCAAGGCACGGTCTGACAGATCCCGCGGGCCGGAGCACAGGTCTCGAGCCAACTGTCGGCCAGCCGTGGCGAATCTCCCGCCCGACAGCCCCCGAGACCAGCCGAGGCATGCACTTTGGCGCACCGGTTCCCGTTCGCGGGCGTCAACTTCATGGTGCGCGCTTCTTCCTGGACTGGGGAACAGGGAGGACCCTGCGGACGGGAACTTGTGGTTCGCGTGTCGCTCCGCCGCGTCTTGCCCACCACGCGTCGAGGCGACACGCTATCCCTAAGTCGGGCGTGTCCCCCTACACGGGGATTTTCGACGAAAAATTATAAATACCACAAACATAGTCAGAAAATAGTTCAACAATACTCTGGGGACTATTTCTTGAGTATTTTTTGACCTTCTTGGGGTATTTTTGGGGTATCTTTTTTTCCCGTCGAAAATTCCCCTGCGTCGAGGCGACACGCCATCCTCTCCAGGCGTACGTGCCGAGCTCTTGCCAGCCTCCCGCCACGCGGAGCGGAGCGACACGCTGTCCGCTCGCAGGGCATATTTCGTGTCGCCGGGGCCGCCGCCGCGACACGCCAAGCAAAAGTTCCTGACCGCAGGAGTTTTGACTCGAGAAGAGGAGCAGTCGAAGGGGAGAGAGGAGAGGGCTGGGTAATTTGCGGGAGGAGGGTGTGGAGGAGGAGAGTGCAGAGGATCGAGCGAAAGAGGGTGGAGCGGGAGTTTTGAACATCGTTCCGAGGATGAAGTTGCAAATGGCCGTTGCACGCGGTCCCCACCCTGCCGACACGCTTGACCAATGCACGCACTAGAGCATTGTGCCCTCACTGCTTCATTATCTCCTTCTCTTTCTCCTGCTCCTCTGCTAGGTTCTGTATCCTCCTGAATGTTTTTCATCGTTGGGGGAGTTTTGAAACTGTGTGTGTGCGCGCAGTTTGATTTGGAGTGGTGTGGCGGTAGCACGCGGTGTTGTCCACCTACCCTCATGTATTGAATCCACGTCTTGAACAGGATACGGTTGCTCTTCTCCTCTTCCTCCTCCTCCTCCTCCTCCCGCCCCCTCTCCTCCTTCCCTCCTCTTCGCTGCCTTTGCTATTTCCTCGCTCCCCCTCCCTCATTCCGGCACTTTGCGAACACGTGGTAGTCCAAGAGAGCGCAGTTTTGTGCATATCAGAATAATCAGCGCCGCCAGCGGCGCAAGTCTCCGCAGTCTCGAGCACCTGGGAGGTCCAGCAACACGCGGCCTTATGGGCACCCAGACGAGACCTCGCTCCAACTGTTTGTTGGCAACTGCGCATGCGTGCCCACGTTCGTAAACTCCTGGCAGGTCCCGCGCAGGGCGGCCTCACAGGGACCCGCACGAGACCTCGCGCCTCCCGGGTGCTGCCAGCTGCGTAATTGCTAGCTTGACTCAAACGGGACCTCTGCCCGTGTCGCGGTCTCCTTCTCTTATTACCCATCCCTTCCGTGTTGTTTTGCACACTCCGCTGGGCAGCATATTCGGCGGAGGGAGAAGGAGGGAGTCAGAGAGAGAGAGAGAATAGACACACCAATATACACACGATGAACAAGCATGTATCGAAGACGCCTACGGCGAATCACCGCCGCCCCCTGCCGTCTTGGAAGAGCTTGTCTGTTCGAAAGTTGCGACCAGAGCTTGGCCTAGCTATCGGAGCATGTGTCCCCCGAGTTGCTTTGGAAAGCCTTCGGGGATCACGCGTGTGAGAATGACCACGGTGAGGACTTCGATCTGGTCTCGCTCACCGTTACTGGGGGGCCCCTTTGGACAGTCTCGAGGGTCGCCTAACACCAGGGGCGGTCGCATAACATTGGGCGGTCCACCGATCGAGGCGTCGGAGGCCGTCTGGAGGGCCTCTCTGGAGTGTCTTGGGGCTCTGTTGGAGTATTTCTGGTTCGTTTTGGAGGCCATCCTGGGCGTCTTGGAGGATTCTTGGGCCGTCCTGTTGTCTTTCTGGGGCCGTCTCGGGGGCCTCTCGGGCCGTCATGGGGCCGTCTTGGAGTCCTCTAGGACGATCTTGAGGCCGTTTTCGGGGCCTCGTGCGCCGTGTTGAGCCGTCGGAAGGCCCCCAAAAAAGCAAGACCCACATCCTTCAGAAACCTACAGAAAATCAATGAGTTGGGCCCATGGGCTTTCCTGGACGCCCCTTGGAGGCCTCTGGGGCCGTTTTGGAGGCCTCTTGGGGGCCTCCTGGGTCGTCTGGGGCCGTCGTGGAGACTTCTTGGGCAGACTCGGAGGTATCTTGGACTCTCTTGGGCCGTCTTGGAAGCCATTTTGGACCTTCCTTGGCCGTCTTGGAGGCCATCTTGGGCGAACTTGGACGCCCTCTTGGGGCCGTCTTGGAGGAGTCTCCGGCTGTCATGACGTCATCGTGGAAGCCTTTGGAGCTGTCTTGGCGCGATTTGGGGGGCCTCTTGGGCCGTCTTGGGCCGTCGGAAGCCCGAACAGAAGCAAATGCCACAATCCATCAAAAACCTAAGGAGCACCAATCATGTTGGCCTTTTTTCGGGTCCCAGGGGCCACCCGCACACAAAGGGCGGCCCGCAATGCCCTCAAGGATGGCCTCACACGGCGGCGCGCCGGTTGTCTGGCAGAGCCCGCTGACGGAGCGGCCTGCGCGCCAGAGAGGGACTTGCCGTGTTTGGCTGCGGCTGCCCCCAGAGCTCGGACGTCGTAAGTCTTTACCGCGGGGACCCCTGGAAGTCCTAGACCCTTGCCCGGGGGCGGGTTTTCCATCCCAAGTTGGTTTCTGACGATCCTGAGTCCCAGTGACAGCCTGCGGGGGCCGAACCATGTGAGAAAACACGCAAAAAAACAAAAACAGCCGCCGTGATGTTCTCCATCATGAGATGAGGCGGGGGAGACTGCTCGGCATGGCGGCTGCCGCCATGTGCAAGTCGAGCCTGTTCGCTCGGGCTGCGCAGCGCGCGCTTGGGACCCCGCCCAGAGACGGGCTCTCTGGCGGCAGGCGCTTGGCGGGCGGCGGGCGGCGGGCGGCAGCGCGCCAGAGGCGCCGCCGACGCCATGGCAAAGGCGAGGCCGAAGCTGCAGTCGAGGGCGCGCTCCTCGGCGTCCTCGGCGGGGTCGTAGTCGCTGCAAGGCGCGCCGCCGCTGCCGTGCCGAAGGCGAGGCCGCAGTCGGGGATGTGCACGTCGGCGTCGCCGAGTCGCGGACGCTGCAGCGCGACGGAGGCGCCGCCGCCGCCGCCGTGTCGAAGGCGAGGCCGAGGCCACGGTCGAGGACGTGCTCGTTGGCGTCGGCCTCGGCGTCGTATAGCCGCTGCAGCCGCCACCAGGCGGTTGCGGTGGCCAGCGGATGGGCCGCGGCCCCGGCTGCGGCGCCGCGGCAGAGGGGCCGGGGCCGAGGTGCCGAGGTGTCGGCTGCGGCCTGAGGTCGGGCACGGACGGTGGCCTTTGCCGAGGGGGCGCCTGTGGGGCGACATCGTGCGGCTTCGCGCGGCTCATGGTTCGCAAGTGACATCGCTCGGCCCGGGACTCGAGCACGCACTAAGAGGGAGAGAGAGAGTGAGAGAGTGGGAGACGAAACGCACACATGACTCCCAGACGTTCGAGTTCTTCCAGAAGACTCTGAACTTAGACGACGAGCGGCTCTGGGCTTAGAGGGCGTGTGACCGCGGGCAGATATGTTGGTGGGCGTCGTTGTTTCCTTGAGAGTCTGGGCATCTCCGGAGGTTCTCGTCGCCTCCACTGTGCGTAATTCGCGCTGTCGTAGCTCAGTTGCCGCTCCGAACGCTGTTCGATCGTTCCCACCGCCGGCGACCAAGCAGTTTATTCGATGCATGCAGCACAAGTGCCTGGTGCCTAAGCATACTCTGATTGTTCCGGTGGGCTTGGTGAAAGAAAACAACAGGATCCGCAGAGATTTAGTGCGTGCTTACGCGCGAGCATTGGAGGAGACTTGTAAAAACAATGTCACCGAACAGGGGGACTTGACCACCAAGGATATGGCTGGGCGGGGCAGTCAGAACAGTGTGGGCCATTATGCCCAGGTGTGCGCAATGACGCTGCCCATATACACCGAAGCGTGCATGCTCAATGGGAGTGTGCGTGTGTTGTGTGTATTGTGTGTGTTTTGTATGTATGCGTGTGCGTGTGTGCGTGCGCGTGTGTGTGTGTGTGTGTGTGTGATTGTGTGTTGTGTGTTTGTGTGTAGTCTGTAGATGTTGTGTGTGTGTGTGTGTGCACGTGCGTTGCTTCTGTGATAACTGCATGGACACGCACTTGGGCCCGCACGTGCGCATGCATCGTGTGTAACTTCGTGCACGTGCAATTGCGATCATTGCGTGCGTCTCTTCTTTCTCGTGCTTCGAATGTGTTGCGTGTTCTTCAGCGCGGACTCGTAGTGGGCCGCTGTCAGATTCTTCGTTCCCGCACCTGAGAGAAGTGCACTTACGCGCCAGTGCTCGCGCCCGTGTCTATCTGCATGCCTGTGCGCGTGCGGGTGCCAGACCCTAGCGACCTCCCACGTGTGCTCATGCTCGTGCTGGTGACCGTGACCTTGCCCGCGCACGTCCGCGCGCTGGCGTGCCCGTGCGCGTGCTTGCGCGGGCGGTTCTCGACGCCTGCGGGCCAGGGCGAGGAAGATGGCTGCAGCACGAGCGCGACTCAGGGGGCATAGAGGCGGGAGCGGGGCCTCTGGGCATGTTGGCCCCAGCTCGTGCAAGGCACAGCGCTGCGGCCATGGCGGCCATGGCGGGCCATGACAGAGGCCTCTGCGTCTGCCTTCTCCCGCCGCTCCTCCTGGGCGGACGACGCGTTCCCGTGGCAACGGCCCTGCGGAGCAGGGCGTCGGGGCTGCGACGCCGCGGCTAACACAGGGCGTTGTGATCGCGAACGCTCCGTGCGGAGCGCCACCAGGAGGCCGCGCATCCACAGGATCGCGCGCCCCGGAGCCCAGTCTGCGAGGGCGTGGGTACGGATATACCTTCGCCGCTCGTGCGCTCCTCCATCCTCCTCCCCGTCCCTCTGGAGGCGCACGTTCGGCGGGCGGGGGCCATTAGGACCTTACATGTTTGAAAACACTGGCGTCAAGAGCGGATGTTTAGGAATGTATTCGGGCTTCCGTTCGTGGCCCTCACTCGCTCGATGTGTTTTTTTATGCGATCCCACGGATGGTCAGTTCGAGGTTCTTTTAACACATATGTCTGACCACAGTGCCAGGCTGTGTTCTGTGTGCCCCTCGAGACAGAGGAAGCGCGGCACCCCCCTCCCAGGCCCGGGCTCCCAGGCCTGGAGGAGGAGGAGGAAGAGGAGGAGGAGGAGGAGGAGGAGGAGGGGGGAGGAGGAGGAGGAGGAGGAGGAGGAGGAGGAGGAGGAGGAGGAGGACGCGCGGCACCCAGACGAGGGCAGCTGCCCCCGGGGGGCGCCAGGGAGCCGCAGGCGTGAGCCGCGGGCCCCGAGGGCCGGGCGGCCGCCGGGTGGCTCCGCCCGTGCCTCGCGTCTCGCAAGTGCGGAGTCGTTGCTGGTACGGGAGGCGCCTCTCCTCCTCCTCCTCCTCCTCCTCCTCCTCCTCCTCCTCCTCCACCTCCTCCTCCTCCTCCTCTCGCTCCTGCTCCTCCTCGACCGCAGCTCGGAGTTCCACAGCGGACGCGGCAGGGTAGGTTTGGGCGTGTCCCTCTACAGGAGGACTGCTCAAACATCGTCAGCGAGATGGTTTGGGGACGAGGTTTCGATTGTTGTTTTTGACTATGTTTGGGTATTCGTCTTACCTTTCCTCCCACATCCGCCCGCGGGAGGACACGCCCGACCTGATGGTAGTTGGCCGCGGCCACGAGCCCATACAGCGGAGGCGACTGTTAAGGAATAGTTCCAGGAGGCGCCAGACCCTGGAGGATTCCGTATCCAATGAGGGCGGCGAAGATGTCCATGGCCGATCCACGATTGGAGTTCCATTGGCTTCCAGACCCTGGATTCCTCCTCAGGGCTCCTTATGCAATGCCCACACTGTGCAGCTAGGACGCCGAAACAAGGAACGGTACGGATTCGGACGGGGCTCGCGGTTCCTGCTGTCCTTCCAGGGCTGTTCTTCCTTAGCGTTCCTCGTGCGCGCCTTTCTGGCAAAAGCGGGGCTTCGTTTTCTAGCGTTCCTTGTGGTGGCAGTTCCTCTGTAGAACAAGTAGTCAATCGACCGCCAAGGCGTCAGGCATGAGAACGCAATTCGAACCATTCGGCCACGTGCGAACGATAAAGGCATCGTTCTGTAGCCGCGGTTACATGTTTGAAGCAGAGAAGGACACTTCAACGGCCAGCTTTTCAGGCAATTGTGAAACAAACAGCACGCAACAAAAGCGGTCGCAAGAAGAATCTCACCACCATGCAACCGCAAAGGTAAGTTAAATTGATATTGTCAGCGGCAGCAGCAGCGACGATGGCGCAGCATCATCACCACCATTGATCGCAGGAAATGCACCGCCATCAGCGAGTTCGAGAGCTTGGGCAGCAGGAGGGGGAAAGGAAGAAAAGGAAGGCATGCGATAAATAACCAGTGTAGTGTGAGTGACAGAAGCAGCGCCACCAGACGGCACAGGCTTGCGAGATACAGATACGGCGACACGACTTACCGCTTACTGTCGTTCTTGCCGGGCGCCGTCGCCGGTTTCGCATCCGTGGTGTTATGTTACCCGCTCGAGGCCGCCACCTCGATCGGGGAGGCAGGCCGTTATGGAGCAGGCAGGGATGGAGGACCCAGGCAGTGGGACGAGGCGAGTTGGGAGCGCGTGGGGGGGGGGGAAGTACAGGAGAGGGTGCGAGGAAGAGGACGGAGAGGAGAGAGAGGAGGCAGGAGGGAAGCCAGGTGCGCGCGCCACAGCTCATCATATCCGGCAGGCTGCCCTTCCCACCCATCCCTTCCAATTGCGCCGCTGTGTCTCTCTCTCTCTCTATCCGCTGATGGGTGTCTCAGTGGACCTGGATCCCCAGAGTGACCCCATCGTCTAGTGCGCAAGTGGAAAGGGGGGGCGCCACGTACATGGGAGGAAGAGGAGGAGGAGGTGGTGACGGACGAGCAGAAGGATGGGCAGGAGGAGCAGGAGGACTCGGGAGAGGGAGCAGCAGCAGGAGCAGGCGTAGGAGCAGCAGGAGGGGCAGGAGGGCCGGCGGGAGGCGGAGGAGGGGAAGAGGAAGGGGGGGCGGCAGCGACGAGGAAGGCATATCGATTCCGGAAGTGGGGCCCGCGCTCGGGCGAGGACGCCATGCTCGACGACGGGAGCCAAGCACCTCCTCCTCCTCCTCCTCCTCCTCCTCCTCCTCCTCCTGAGGCCAGCGCTGCAGCGACAGCGCCAGGTGCTTGTCTGTTCTGACCGGGAGCGCACATGCAGGACAACAGCGAGTGACACCCTGTACGTTCAATTTAGGCAGGTGACGTGGCGCCCCGCTCGCACAGTATCTGGGGAGCGGGGGAGTAGTGCGTATTCACGTTACGCGATTGCGGAGGGGCGAGGGGGGTGGGAGGTGTTATCGGAGGAGGAGGAGGAAGAGGAGGAGGAAAAGGAGGAGGAGGAAGAGGAGGAGAAGGAGGAGGAGGAAGAGGAGGAGAAGGAGGAGGAGGAGGAGGAGCGGGCAGCGTGGGTGATACAAAATGGACGGTTGGGCTGCAGGGGACGAGGCAACACACACAGTGCAGGCCAGGGGGCGAGGGCGGGTGTTCCAGCAGGGCCAAGGCGCGGCACCACAGGGAGCAGGAAAGATATGGCCAACGCAGCATTGCCGCCCGCATGCTGGCCCACGCGCACACTCGCGATACTGTGTGTGTGAATGCGTGTGTGTGAGAATGCGTGTGTGTGTGTGTGTGCGCGTGTGTGTGTGTGTGTGTGTGTGTGTGTGTGTGTGTGTGTGTGTGAATGCGTGTGTGTGAATGTGTGTGTGAGAGAGAACACATGTATATATGAATATCCCCCTATATATATATGTGTGTGTGTGTCTGTGTGTGTGGCGCGCCGTGTTCACTCGGCCATGCCCGCTTGATCAGCGTGCGTATTCCTCACCACTATCGAAGACGCCTACGGCGAATCACCGCCGCCCCCTGCCCTTTCGGAAGCGCCGATGCGGCCGACTGCTGTGGCCAGAGGTCTGCCAAGTTATTGGGCCATATGTTCCCCGAATCGGTCTTTACAGCCTTCGGGGAACACGTGGGGGAGGACGGGGAGGAGAGGAGAGATAGGAAGGGGGGGAATGGAGGAGGAGGTCTCTTGAGTGCCTTTTTGGCTACTCTGGGTTTATATTGGGCCACATGTGCGGTCTTGGAAGCATCTTGGGGGCCTCTTTGGATGCCTTGCGGCCTTCCTGTTCTGCCTGACGCCGTCTGGGCTGGGTTGGGGGCCTCTCTGTGGCCTCACTTGGGTTTATCGTGGGCGTAGTGGACGCCAGCGTGGGCGTTTGGGAGATCTGCCGGGCCGTCTTGGTGCTGTTGGGGCGATGTTGGGGACCTCTTGGGCCGTCTTGGGCCGTCGGAGAGCTGAAAAGAAGAACATGCCAAAATCCTTGAAAAACCTAAGGAACATCAATGATTTTAACCTATTCGGGCCTTCCTGGAGGGCGTCTTGGAGGGCTCTTGGGCCGTCTTGGAGGCCTTTTGCGGGCCTTTTGGGCCGTCTTAGACCATCTTGAGGCCATCTTGGGCCGTCTTGGGTGCATCTTGGAGCCATCTTACCCGTCTTGGAGGCTATTTTGGCCGTCTTGGAGGCATCTTGGAGGCCATCTTGGGCCATCTTGGCCGTCTTGGAGGCCATCTTGGGCGTCTTGGAGGCCTCTTGGGCCGTCTTGAGGCCCTCTTGGGGCCTTCTTGGGGGCCTCTTGGGCCGTCATGGGGCCATCTTGGAGGCCTCTTGGGTGCTGTTGGGGCGATGTTGGGGACCTCATGGGCCGTCTGGGGCCGTCGGAGAGCTGAAAAGAAGAACATGCCAAAATCCTTCAAAAACCTAAGGAAAATCAATGATTTTAACCTATTCGGGCCTTCCTGGAGGGCGTCTTGGAGGGCTCTTGGGCCGTCTTGGAGGCCTTTTGCCGGCCTTTTGGGCCGTCTTAGACCATCTTGAGGCCATCTTGGACCGTCTTGGGTGCATCTTGGAGCCATCTTACCCGTCTTGGAGGCCATCTTGGCCGTCTTGGAGGCATCTTGGAGGCCATCTTGGGCCATCTTGGCCGTCTTGGAGGCCATCTTGGGCGTCTTGGAGGCCTCTTGGGCCGTCTTGAGGCCCTCTTGGGGCCTTCTTGGGGGCCTCTTGGGCCGTCATGGGGCCATCTTGGAGGCCTCTTGGGTGCTGTTGGGGCGATGTTGGGGACCTCTTGGGCCGTCTTGGGCCGTCGGAGAGCTGAAAAGAAGAACATGCCAAAATCCTTCAAAAACCTAAGGAAAATCAATGATTTTAACCTATTCGGGCCTTCCTGGAGGGCGTCTTGGAGGGCTCTTGGGCCGTCTTGGAGGCCTTTTGCGGGCCTTTTGGGCCGTCTTAGACCATCTTGAGGCCATCTTGGGCCGTCTTGGGTGCATCTTGGAGCCATCTTACCCGTCTTGGAGGCCATCTTGGCCGTCTTGGAAGCATCTTGGAGGCCATCTTGGGCCATCTTGGCCGTCTTGGAGGCCATCTTGGGCCAAGTTGGGGCAACAAAGGCATTCACAGATGGATTTTCGGAAACTTGCGGGTGGCCGGCGGGACGGGCCGAAGCCCACTGGGGAGTTCTTTTAGAAAAAGAACCAAAACCAAAACCTGAAACATCCAGCACGCCGTGCACCCCTGTGGCAAGACCACAGGGGGCGGCGGATCTAATTGCCTTCGGCCCATCCCGCCACCGTGCAGGCCTCTTGGGACCCTCTGGGCGCGTCCTGGGGCCTTCCTTAGCCCGAAGAAGTCACGCGAGAAGACACGCCAAGCCCAAGTGGATTTGAGAATTCGGGGTCCCGACCCTTTATGACTCCTCAGGCGTGAGGACTGAGGCTTAGACGGATGGGCCCGCGGCCTGAGGACACGCCCATTCCGTGCCCTGCGGCACGGTGGCGGACCACGTGAGGCGTATCGTTTGGATGTCCCAGATGGCACTAACCAAGTACTGCTGGAGGTTAGTCGGCCCGATGCCTCTGATTGTACAGGGCAACTACCTCTTGAGGCTTGTCGTCTGAGTGCCTGAAGTGATACCGATCATGTACCGCTCGTGGCGCGGCTTCCGGTTGTAAGCCGGATTACGTTTTGAAATACTCGTTGGGTCTGTATGCCTCAGGGCGGTACCGATCCTCTCGGGGGCCTCCTGATGGCATCCAAGAGGCCTCTGGGGAGCTGTGTTGGGGCCTCCTGGGGGCCTCTTGGGCGCCCCTTGTGGGCCTCTTGGGGCCTCTTGGGGCCCTCCTGGGGCCTCCTGGGGGCCTCTTACGGCGGCGAGCTCGATTTTTCGGTTCGTGTTCCCTCTCTTGAGCCCCTCTTGGGGCCTTTCTGAGACCTTTCTGATACCTTTTGGGGGGCGCCCTTGGCGGTCTCGGAGCGTCGGAAAGCCAGAAAAGCGAGAATTCCAAAACATTGAAGCAACTTCTGGCAATTATTAATTCTGGCCTCTCGGGGATCTCTTGGGAAGCCTCTTGGAGGCCTCTATGGGCGTCTTAGAGGCCTCATGGGCTGTCTTGGGGCCATCTTCGGCGTCTTGGAGCGATCATTGGGCGCCTCGGAGCGCTCTTGGACCGTCTTGAGGGTGGGGCCGTCCTGGGCCCTAAAAAGACCAGCGGGAAGCCGCGGCAGGGCCCGGGCCCATAATTGATTCCTCAGGACTGAGGACTGAGGCTCTGTGGATGAGGGCAGAGGAGTAGCGAGAGGACCTGAGGACTCGTCCACTCCGTGCCCAAGGGCACGGTGGCGGATGATTGTAGAGGAAAGTAAGCAGGCTGAGGGGAGAGCGGGGGACTACACGAATAGAATAGGGCTTCGAGTAACGTGCGCACTTGGCCTCAGGTCTCTCGGGTAGTTATCGCTGTGCTGAGGTTGTGGGGCTGGGCCGAAGCGAGCTGCGTCGGGCGCAGACTCATTTAATGAAGACAGTCTGTTGTGGCACCATGTGTAGAAGCAGGTCCTTGGCATTTGTATTCTGTCAAGGCTCCGACTTTGGGCTGGCCCCCGGGCCCGTCGTCCTCTAGCCCAGGATGGTTTGCAAGATTGTGACGGGAGCTCTGACGGGATGGCATCTTCGAATGTTCCTGGAAATAGCAATCCCAATATTTGCGAACAGCCCTGTATCCCGGAATGAAGCCAGAGACCTCTCGAAGCCGATCTGATGTCTTATGGGCGCGCGGGATGGCGTTTCGATGCCCCTTTGAATTTGATAGGTTCGAGTGAGAAGGGAGCGATATTCACTGCCACCTCGTGGATGCTGATTCTGCCTCGCGGGGTTTCCGTGAAGTCACAGCTACCACCAGTGTGTAGTTATTGAGTTGAAGACGTCTGTGGCCAGGAATAGTTGTGGTACGACATCCCGCTTGAACTCTGGCGGGACGGCGGCTCTAAAGTCTTCTGCTCTACAGCAGTTCCGCGCGGCATGCGCTACGGACGCGGCATGTGCATGTGGGCACATGGCAGCTCACCAAAGGTGTCAGGGATGAGTTGGATTAGCAGACGTGGGCAACAGTGAATGGCGATCAGCGCCGCCACCCTGTTCTGTTCGGCTTTCAGACCCAACGCTCTTTCAAATTCCTCCTCCCTCCCGAAGATAGCGGAGAAGGTGGTAGGGGTTTTCTGGTGACGGGGCCCTTCGGCTTCAACCGAGGCATCCAAGGAGATGGTTTCTGGGATGGGGTCGCTTTCAAGGACGGCCGTAGGGTCATGTTCTGTGTGGGGGTTGGGCTTCATGTCCTGGATTCGGATGGAAAGCTGTGGGCAGCGCGTCGTGGCCGAGTTGGCAGTGAGCTCCCTCAGACCAGCCCTGCGGCGGAGAACGCGACTGCCTATGCTGCCCTGACCCGCCCCCCTCCCCCTCCCCTCACGAATAGGCTGATCGCAGATATCGAAGGGGTAGCAGGCGTGACAAACTGGCGCGCTGGTAAGCTGTGCAGTTGTAGATCGCACTATGCAGGGTTGTACTCGCTTGCTTTAGGTCGGCTCGCTTGCAACGTGGAGGTAGTGACTATCAAAGCGCACGTGAATACAGACGCAGGGAATGCGGGAGGGAATGCGGTGGCGGATGTTGCCGCAAAGCTGAGCGCAAGTGCACCCGCGAGTATCTCACACATGCGGCCAGGGCTGCGATTCTTCTCGCTCGTGGGCGGCCCCACCCCTCTGCGCGGCAGCTGTTGCCGCGCAGACCGCGGAGCCAGGGCTGCGGTTCTTCTTGCTCGTGGGCGGCCCCACCCTTCTGCGCGGCAGTTGTTGCCGCGCAGACCGAGGAACACGGAGGGGAAAATTTGTCCGGGAGCTCGATCTGCGAGAGTTTGTGCGGGCTTGGAAATACACGGTAGGTTCGTGTCGTGTCGACCGGCGGCGACCCCGCCAGTGGCGTTCCATTTGGAACGCCGCGGGCGACTCAGAATCGTTCGATGCGGAACGATTTGGACGCTTCGGAAACGGCCGATCGTTCAAGATGGAACGATCCCCGCGGCGCCAGGAGCCAGCGCCGAAGTCGGCACGACACGAACCTGTCGTATCAGGGGAGGCCACGGCACCATACGGCACTACGCGGGCAGCGGGTCCGAGGGCTGTTCGGCCCTAGTGAGGCCCCTCGTCAGCAGCACTGCCAAGCTTCTGTTCGGGTGCCTAGGCAAGAGCAGCCCTTGGTGTGCGGCTCCAGGGGGGCGCGGGGGGGGCCCAGCCCGAGCGCGCAGGCTGCGAGGGAAGGCGCTCTCCCCGCATCGCCCGTGCTGGCCGCCGCCCCCGCCAGGCAAAGGCCCCGGAAGTCACCTCCGCCTCTGCTGCCCCCCCCCTCGTCCCCTCCTCCTCCTCCTCCTCCTCTTCCTCCTCCTCCTCCTCCTTTTCCTCCTCCTCCCTCCTCCTCCTCCTCCTCCTCCCTCCTCCTCCTCCCTCCTCGCTCCTCCCTCCCTCCTCCTCCTCCCTCTCCTCCTCTTCCTCCTCCTCCTCTCCCTCCTCTCCTCTCCTCTCCTCTCCTCTCCTCTCCCCTCCCCTCCCCCCCTCCCCTCCCCTCCCCTCCCCCCCTCCCTCCTCCTCGTCTCCTCTCCTCCTCCTCCTCCTCCTCCTCCTCCCTCCTCTCTCTTCTTCCTCCATCCTCCTCTCCTCCCTCCTCCCTCCTCTCCTCCATTCTCTTCCTTGTCCCCCTCCCCCTCCTCCTCCCTCCTCTCCTCCCTCCTCCTCCCTCCTCCTCCCTCCTCCTCCCTCCGCCTCCTCCTCCTCTCTCCTCCCTCCTCTCCCTCCTCCCCCCTCTCCCCTTCTCCCCATCAGTTGGCCTGGTCCACCCGCGCCTCCCGCTGGAGGTGTGCGGATTGTGTCGGGAAAGCGCCGAGGGGGTGGAAGACAGGCCTCCTGAAGGGAAGCGCAGTGGATTCCCAAAGCGGTTTCGCGAGCTACTTCGTGCCCCGGAGGGTCACAATTTGCAGAGCGTGGGCTCCACCGGGTGAGCTACTTGTAAACTTGCTGTAGTATACAGTACTTGTGGCAGCTACACGATCGACGGACGGCCTGTTGATTCACAGGCGCCATGCAGCGAGGAGTGTACATCCCACAGTTCCAAGTCAGTCTTGTGAGCACGGGCCGGCCACGGTGCTGGAGCCCGCCTTGGCCTTGGACGTGCGCCGCGCGTTAGATAAGACAAGTCGGCATGGGAGTGCCATGGGATTCCGCCCGTCCCCTTGAGGGTTCGGTCGTCGTCCTTTTACTCCCCTGCTGGCTTGTTTTGCCCATGCCGCCCGAAGTGCTCATCTCATCTCATCTTGTCTTCCTCCCTCTCCTCCTCATCCTCATCCTCATCCTTCCGAATCCTTCCTAATCATTCTCCCCGCCAGGTCCTGCGCACGCGCCTCATGGTCGACATGCGCGTCCGCGACGGTTCCCTGCAGAAATCACCGCACGGGGCGCCCGCCTTAGTTGGCGGTGGTGGGGGGAGGCAGAGGGGGCAGGAGGAGGCGGCGGCGGACGGAAGAGGAGGAGAGGGGAGGAGGAGGATTAGGAGGAGGAGGAGGAGGAGGAGGAGGAGGAGGAGAACGAGGGGAGGAGGAGGAGGAGGAGGAGGAGGAGGAGGAGGAGGAGAAACGAGAAAACGAGGGGAGATGCGGAGGAGCAGGAGGAGGGGGAGGAGGAGGAGGAGGAGGAGGGAGGAGGAGGAGGAGGAGGAGGAGGAGGAGGAGAGGATGAGGAGGGGAGGAAAAGTTGGGGGGGGGGGGACAACGTCATCACCGACACCGGTGCCATCAGCGACAACGAGAACCGAATGAACAACAACAGGAGGATGAGGAGGAGGAGAAGTAGGAGAAACAGGGAGAGGAGGAGGAGGAGGAAGAGGACGAGGAGGAGAAAAAGGAGGAAGAGGAGGAGAAGGAGGAGGAGGACGATTAGGAGGGGGAGGCAACGCCATCACCGACATCGGTGCAATCAGCGGCAGCGGAAGGAGGAGGAGGAGGAGGAGAAGGAGGAGAAACGGAGGAGGAGGGAGAGGAGGAGGAAGAGGAGGAAAAGGTGGAGGAGGAGGAGGAGGAGGGGGAGGAAGAGGAGGAGGAGGAGGAGGCGGCGGCGGGTCAAAGAGGAGGAGGGGGAAACATTGGAGGTGGAGGAGGCGGAGGTGGAGGAGGAGGAGCAGGTTTAATTTTGCTGCTTAAGCTCCTCACCCGAGCGAAGCTGAAGTCAATATCGGGAGCAGCGCGCCTGACGGAGTTGAGTTGGTCAGGCCCCCCAGATTCGGCGCATGGTCAGAGCTTCGGCGTGACCCCCCTGGCGCGCGCACACAAACACACACACACACACTCTCTTACACACTCTCTCACACACGCAGGCGCTACCTCGGCAACGTCAGTCTGGAGCGGCCCTAGCACATCGAATCCTGGGCTTTTCGGGGTGCACAATGCGCCGAGCGAAAGGCCGCGTCTGCATACTTGAAAGGGCTCCAGGACTGAATCGCCACGACACCTGCAGCAGGAGCCGTTTACAACAGTATCAAGGAGCCTCTGCCCGTCGCGGATGTGCTCCACCAGGGCGGTCAGTGTACGTGCACCCGCTGGACAACATAGATCCGACGGTCCGCAGTTGGCACGATTAGCGGAAGTCTGACACACTTGCGCTTCGCACGGTGCAATATATCAGTGCGTTTATCCGTGGGAACGCGCAGATTAAGACTTTGGGTCCGATCACTGTCGCCGAACTACGGTTCGCCGGTTAGTGCTTGCCCGCATGAAAAGCAAAGCATGTTTGGGGATCGGTCGCATATCGCCAGCCGGCTTGGATGTATTACCCGACGCCGCTCTTGCCGATCTGTTTGTTGTAGCAGAGATGGAAGTATTGCGTCGGCCGTGGCAGGCCATGGCCGTCACAGGCTAGCTTGCGGGAAGGAATCGCGGAGGCGATCGTGAAATTGGTTTGTTCGCCACGCCTGGTCGCGCGTGGTCCGTGCGTCGAACATCTCACGCAGCAGTGGGCCGTTGATCAGGAGCCTGTGCGGGGCGCAGCAGTGGCCGACAACAGTGCTCGACGTGAGGCATTTGCCAGTGCGCTCGACGATGAGGTCGAGAGTAAGCTTGGCATGTCTCATGGACACTGTTTAGGGACATTTGATTCGTTTTGCAATTGCTCCAGCTCGGCCCGCTGGCCAAGGGAGCAGTCGAGCACGGCTTCCCGCCCGCGGTGTTTATCCTCGAACTCCAGCTCCGCGCCTGTCCGAGGATGCTCGCTCAACGGGGTTCGTTTTCTGATATATTCAAACCGGGGCGGTCGGTGGCCCGAGGGTTGCGACATTGAGTTGTCGTTGCTTGCGCCGTGCATGAAGTGCTGGGCGGCTCAGAAGTCATGCATGGCACATCCCGCGCTGCCAGGCAGATTGTGGTGATTTTTCCCGGAGAGTTTCGGGCTCGCGAAGCTATGCGCGGATCGCCCTTGCCAAGGGTATCACCTGGACGGCCCGGGTCTGCGGGGAGCAGCACTCGCGCCCCTTCCCCGAAGAGTGCCCTCGCTTGCTCGCGTCCTGGGCGCGCGCCAGGTCACGCGTGCACTTCGTCGGCGGGACATCGACCAACGCCGCGTCCCAGGCCGCGTGCCCGGGCGTGGGCCTGGCAGGCGGCAAGAGCCTAGGCGCGCTCGGGACGCGGCTCGCAAGCGCGTGGCGAAGTCTGGCACCCAGCGCGGGAAGCTTCGGCGATTCGCTCGAACTTCGGTTCATGTCGAGGCGACGGCCGAGTTCCAGCTGGGCCCCCGGCGGGGCCGACCTGCCGGCACCGGTTGCGCGGGCTCTACGGCGCGGGCGCGGTGGCCCAGGGGAGGCGGCTCGCAGCGGGAACGGGATTTGCGTCGAGGGCGATGCGCCGCGACGTTGCTGGCGTTGCGCCTGCCTGAAGGCGACCCAGGCTTAGTGCTTCCGCGTCAGCGCATGGAGGGATAGTTTCAGGTCTGGCCCTCAGCATCCCGGATCCGCGCAGCCGAGGCCAAGGCGTGGCCTCGGCCGGTCGGAGGCTTTGCAGGCACGCCTGGCGCCGCGAGATCTCGCCGCGCGCGGGATCTACTCTCTGCCGTCATCGCGCGTCTCCTGCATGCGGGGCGGAACCCGATACTGGCAGGTTGGTGGGGCGCGGCGAGTGACATTCCTGGGGATCGGCGCAGTTGGCATTCCAGCAGCGGCGAGTTCGCAAGTGGGGACACGGCCGCCCTCGGGGGCGCGTCTGGCGGCCTGGGCGCCCCCGACAGCCGCCTGCGGCGTGTCAGAGCAGCCGTCGCCGTCGTTGAGACCTTCGACTCAATCGCGCTCGGCACGCACTTATTCGGCCCGCTCGCACTCCCCGGCCAGACCGTGGCGACAGGCGAGGTGGCAGCGCTGGAGCTGGCCGTGCTGCGGTCTCTGGGCGTGCTCATCTTGCCACGGGCTGCGGGGAGGTGAGCCGCGGCTGGTGGGCAGCGCTCCGTCAGGAGCCAGTGGGGGCGCACGACGACTGGTGGAGGGCCATCGGCGCGTCGCCGAGACGGCAAGGGCGCCAGCCGCGGCAGGTCGCCCCGATTCAAGTGTCGTCGCACTTCGGGGTGCCGATCTGATCTCCAGAAGCATCCCGACGCGGCTCGCGGAGGGCAGCGCGGCCGTGGACGCGTTGGCGGCAGCAGGGGCAGCCCCCCCCCCCCCCCGCGCTTCTCGCATGGGCGCACGCTGCGCGACGCCGCGCGCCCTGGCCGACGGCGGGCGTTTTTGCGTGGCGTCCAAATCGCACGCGCCCAGAGCTATGGAGACTTCCCCCCGTGCCCACTCGTCGCGGCGAGGCGTGCTCCGAGCCCGCAGCGCGGCTTCTGTCGAATGCGTGACTGTTTGGAAAACGCGCTGCGCTTCGCTGCTCAGGCGCGGGCCGCTACGCTTGGCTCCGCGGATGCCCTCGCCCACCGCCGCCCGTGCTTCGTCTCCTTCGTCGCGGCCTCAGCCCGACGTGGGCCCGGCTCTGCGCCGCGCGCTGCCCGTGCCAGTTGGGCACCCCGGACTCGCGCGCCCAGCTGATCTGGGCGCTGGGCGACGGGCAGCACCGCTGGACATTCGTCGGGTCGTAGTTCTTCTACATGCGCCCCGTGCTCACGGGTGGCTCCCAGGGTTGCCCTCTTTCGGGCGCTCTGCGGGCCCTCGCCACGGCCCCACTCATCGAGGCGCTGGTCGGCGCTCTGGTGTTACCCACGCGTTCGCTGGCCAGCCGGCCCCCGCGCGACGCGCAGCTTATCGGCAGTGGCTGGGACGCCCAGCTCGGCGACTGCGCCGACGATGCGAGGATCGCACCGTGGGACATCTGGGTGGAAACAAACGGCCCCTGAAAAGTAGACTTGCCCGACACGCGCCCATATGTAGAATGCCCCCTTTTGCGCGCGGTCTACTTCTCGAGGTCATTTAGGTCGGGGTCTACATTTCATGGTACTTACATCTCGCGAGGGTCGACATTTCAGGATCCGCTTGGTCGGGGTCTACAGTTGGGCCCACTTTGCGCAGGTCTACACTTGGCGCCCATCTCGCTGGTCTACAGTTCGGGGGGTCCGTTATCGTTTCGCCGAATGGGGATCGCATTGTGGGGCATTTGGCCCCTTGCCCTCATCGAGCCTCGCTTCCAGGCCATGGGGCGCTCAGCATGGTTGCACCTGCAGCCGCGGATATGCGTCTTGATGCCGCTGTAGCCTGCTGCTGCTGACCTCCCTGCTGCCCTCGTGGACATCCGACTGGCCCCCAGTGCGATCGCCTCTGGCTGGTCCGATTTCGAAATCGCCTCCAAGACGGTACCTCGGGTTCGTGCTGGGCCCAGGGTCGGCCCTCGAGGATTCATGGCACGCTGCCTCCACGAAGCGCAATCTGCGCACGTCCGTGCTGAAGTCTGTGCAAGCGTCGGCGGCAGAGTTGATCACCTTGTACAGCGGCTTCGCTATATCTGTTCTCACCTACCTGGCCCAGCTCCTGCCTCTGTCGGGAGACATCCTCCATGGCGAGTTGGACACGTTGCAAAGGATCCTGAATGTGCCTCCTAAGAACTTCGCCTTGGGCACCCGGGCCTTCGCCGAAGGCGGTGCTGCCTGCAGCTTGGGCCGCCGCTGCGAAGATGGCCGAAGTCACACTTAGAAGGCGGCGCGACCTTGCAGCGGAATGGCAAGAGCGCGCCTTCATTGTGCGCCCAGCTCGCGCCGCGCTGGAAGGGCGCCGGGCCGCCCCTGTCTGGGCCCAGCGGCAGTCGATGGCACAGTGCATGCTCTCTGTCACCCAGGCCGCGATCGATGCGCCCAGCAAACGGCTCCGCAGACGACGCCGGCAGGCCCTAGCTGCAGGCAGTGCCGCGGCGATGGAAGGGGCCCGCTGGGCTGCCGCGGAGGGCCGCCGCGCTCGCGCGCAGCGCGCCCGCGCGCGAGCCGCACGCGGCCGCCCAGC